GAGGGGACTTTTAAAATATAAATTTTAATTGTTCTCTAATATCATATTGAGTCACCTATGAGATAGATTAATAAATTAAATAGATATAAAAATCTATTTACAAATTTTTTAATTTTTAGTTTGTTATTTAGAAAAAAAATTAATATTTGAACCAAAAAGAATTTAAATATAATTTTTTTTAAGTTTGATTTTATTATTATAAGATCAAACTTAGGAATTGAATTGTTAATATAACTTGAGTTAGATTTAAAATAAATAATTGGTGTATCTGATTCACTATTTTGAAATAATATATTTTATTATGTTTATAAAATTGTATAGATATAGTATTGCATTTTAAGAAAATAAAATATCTTTTTTTGCTGAAACATTAATAATTTTTCATTAAAGTTATATTGAAGGTTTTTAGAAAAAGGTAAATATCCAAAAATATCTCTTGCTATATAAAAGGAAAAGATAAGTTGAATTAAAAAAATATTTGATCTTCTATTTATAATATGATAATGCTTCATAACTTTGATAATTTTTTATTTATGTAATTTTTATCATTTGATCCTTGTTTCAATGCAGCCTCATAAAATTTTTTAGCCTCTGATATCTTCCATATCTAAAATATTTCAAAATTTTTATTCAACCGCTTTAGTGAATCAGTTATATTTAAAGAAAAGACTTATATACCTTTTAGTTATAATCTTAAAGGATTAATTTTAATAGAAAGTGCTACATTATAACATGAAATAGCTTCCACATATTTCTCAAAATTGTGTAGTGCAAAACCGGAATTTTAATATAATTTACCTTTATTACTCCATGTATTATCATGTTTAGAATTAATAGAAATAACTTTATCGTAACATTCAATTGCTTCTTAGTATTTATTCAAATTGTATAATGCATTTCCTAAGTAATGATATTTAAAAATAAATAACCTTTATTATTCCACGCGTTCTCATTTTTAGGGTTGATAAAAATAGCTTTTTCATAACATTCAATTGTTTCTTAAAATTTATTCAAATTCTTTACAACTCTAAAACAAAATAAATGAATAGAAAATACTAATCCTAAATTATAATTAAATTCATTATACCTTCATTAAATAATCTTCCAGAATTTTTTATGTTCTACTAGTTTTTATCTTCACTCTCATCATTAATTTTTTTAATTTTAATATCATTTTATTCGACATAACTAAATTTAACCTCACTATTAGTTAAATTTGTGTCCATACTTTTAATTGTATCAAGAATAATATTAAATTATGTTATTAATTACTCTTTTTAATACATATCTAATATTCTTTTTCTTTTGAGTAAAACTTTTTTATTAAGTTTATTTATGACTTAAAAGCCAAAAAGTCTTTGTTTTAAAGTTGTAGTATCATCTTTTCTAGTTAGTTTATATTTTGTTCCATAATTTTTTTAATTTTTTCAAAACAACACTAAAGTAGGTTTTTTTGAATTATTTGGTTGATTGATTGTAAACTTGTATGAATTCATTCATATATTAATCAATTTTAGGGAATCGAATACAATCATTAAAATGATCTTAATGAGTAGTAGTTAAACATTCATAACAATATAGAGTTGCATTTTAGCAATTCTGATTCAAGCAAAATCCAATTATTTCTTCATTTTCATGGGTAAGATATTTACATCTAAAGTTGTCCATTTAAATCTAAAAAATAAAATAATATTAATAATTAAGAAGGTATTTTCTATAATAAATATATCAAAGAAATCTATTAAATGAATAAATTACTAAATTTGGTACCAATATATATTTGAACTATCTAAATCATTCAAAATTAATTGACTTTTAAATTGAATAACTAACCAAATCAATTTTTTATTGAATAATCAATTCTCAGAAGTTCATTTTCTTTATTGTTGATCAAATTAATTTTATTAGATCAACAAAGAATTATAATTGAGTTTATAAACAAATTTAGCTATCTACATCCAAGATTCACTAATAGAGTTTTGCCTTATTCTACTTAAAAATAAGTTGATCTATTCAATATTTCTGGATCTTAATAAAATATCTCTTAATATCGTCCAATTTTCTATATTTGAACCAAAAAATTTTAATAATTTTTTCTATCCTTGCATAACGAAAGCACTTTTATAAAAAAATCATTAAATTTTAGTTTAAAGCCTATTTTACCTCATGAAATTTATCATAATAATAAAATCTTTTGTAGCTTACGTAGAGACGGGTATCGATTTTAATATATAATACAAAATCTCTCGTATACCTTTGGTTAAGAAGGTATGAGAAGAATAAAAAAAATTCTCATACAAGAAAGAGTCAGAAGTTTAATAAATTAAATAATACCCTAGCGATAATATTCAACAATCTTAACACTCTTTTAAAAGGTAAAATATAAGGTTTTTAAATGATCAGATTGGAAAATTATAAATATTTAATCAAAAATTTAGATTTAATTCTTGTCAGCCTATATTATTTCGTAAATCTTATCACCAGTCGTTTTAAAGTATTATAATAAGAATAATGAAATTATTAAATAGTCTGTTACCTATTGATTGAACAATCCTCATATGTGTTTTGGGATAAGTTGATAGGTAAATAATACTCCCTGACACTGTATCAGTTTCATCAACTTTGAGTTAGTATTCTTGAACCGTCCACCTCCTACTCAGTTTGAAAAGTCCATTTTACAAATCGTCATATTTGCCTGAAGAGATTGCCCAAGCACGACTTTAATTGGAAACCTATTTCAGAAGGCCGGTTTTGTAATCGACTTCTTTCGAGTAAAAGCCGTTCCGCGCGATCCTTTCTCAATGAGTCCCTTATTTTATCACGACTCCTTTTATATTATTCCATATGTATTTTTGTAAAATAGTAAGTATATTAATAAACTAATTCAGTCTTGATTCTTAATTAAATATTCTAATTTTTCTTCTATATATGTTACTAATGAGAGAATTTGTTTCCAACAATCATACCACTGTCTAAATGCTTTTAACATACTTAATATTATTAATTCGACACACTTATATTTGGTCTTCTTACATTCGCATTAATCTTGTTATGCTTTCTTAACATGTAAGTATATAATTCTTTCAACAACAAATTTTGAAAAGATAATATACTTAAAAAATTGTAATTATCTGTTAATTATATTTGCTGTGGTAACATTTATCATTTGGCTTATTTCGTACTTGTTATGAGTTTACAAGAATATTTGTATACTCTTATGAAAATTCTTTATAATCTCTGAAATTATAATAATAATATTTGATAAATTAATCAATATTTATATTATTTTTTAATCCATATCAATTCTAAAGTGAATAATTATTTGCTTTATGTGTACCATTTTCATTATTTCAATCTTATTTCTATCCACATTATCCATAAATTTCAATTATCTACCAAAAACATCTAAAAATGTATTACCAATACTTACAACTATTCTGCTTTTGAAAATTTTTTTTATTTCTTTTGTTTAATCTATCCACAATTTACTTTACTATGCATCTTAAATGTGCTTCTGGCCAAAAATTGCAAATAATAGAAACTAAAACTTCCTATATTTTATGATATTAAAAACATTATCTCTCTAGTATACCTTCTTCCGAAATGCTCTATCTAGAATAAATAACAGATCCTTTTATTGAAGGATGTTCAGGGTTTTTTTAAGATGTTTAATGAAATTCTATTCCCCAGTGCTATCCATTTAATTATTAAATGTATGGAAAATTCAAATCATCAAATTAATTGTAAATCATTAATTACAAGTCAATTCACAATATGATTGAACCTGATATTCTTTAAATCTTATTTAATATTACAAATCCCCAATTTAGTTAATTTTTCATGAAAATTAGCTTTGATTTATTCTCACTCTCCTCAAGAAATGGTCTTTGAAAAAAGACTCAATTAGATATAGCCGTAATCCAAAAAGGGTCATATAAATTGACAAGTTTGGAAGCCCTTAGAGGATGGAGTTGTAATAGCTCCCCGATAAAGTTTCTGTATATTGGGATGTCCATCTGGGACTGGTCTGCGGCAGATAAGCAAAGGAAGGTTCGAAAATCTGAATTCGAAGTAGAGATTTGCGGTCGGAAAGGGTATTCAGAAAGAGTGTGTGCTTAATGCCCATGTACAGCTGAAGAGTGTGATTCACAATCCTTGGTAGACACACAAATGAACTGAGAAATTCTATAATTAGAAGGGACACACTAATCATATATTATTATATTGACTGTAACTGACCTTCTTCTAGATGGTTATTGAATTAATACACAAATCATTTTAATTGGAGTACAATTAAAATGATAAACTACACTTTCGTTAAATTTTTGTAATCAAATATTTGAGAATTGAGCTTTAAATATAATTACTGAATCAAAAAAATTTTACATCTGAATCTTAATTTGTAATTTGATTAATAGATTCATTTCTATCCTATATTATTTTTTTCATTTTTTTAGTTTATTGTCTAAAAAGCTTATTATGTAAATTCATCTTAAACTTAATGTAATTTATTTTTTTTAAGTATGAGGATGAAGAAATCCACTGTATGTCTATTTTTATTGAAGTTTGATTTAGTTGAAATCTATTTTTTTCTTAAATATAATAAATTGTATATTTCTTAATTATTTAATTTATATATACAATAAGATTACCTTAGATCAATAATTATATTTAGAAATCTTTTAATATCTTTCAATAATTCAAATAAATAGATCCTATTCTTATTATTATATTTTATTATATTCTAATTGTAATTGTCACAATATTAAACTCATGATATAAAGAATATTCCCAATCAAGGTAATTAACTTTTGTTAATAATAAGGTTAAATGAAAAATAAGGAAATTTTCCAATTCATTTACTAAAGATTAATACTTGCCTTTATATGGAATATTATCCATTAGTTATATGATTAAGCTCTTAGCATCTAAAAATATAGATTAAATTCATATTCATCTCTATTATTAATTGATGATTATATCTTTAATATTTACATGTAATAATTAAAATATTCTTACTAGCTATCAAATTCTAAATATCTATTCCTTTGAAATATATTGTTTTATTCTGATTAAAATATTTTATGAATCATAAACTTACTTCAAGAATTTCAATAATTTTCTTAATATTCTGGCCTAGAGATTTATTCTTATATATATATTATACTTTTTTAATGAATTAGTTCTGAAAATGATCCACAATTCTAAAAAAAAAGAAAAAAGAATTTAAACTCTTTAGTTGTTTATAGTCTTTAAATTCTCGATTGCTTAATTATGAATCTATTAATACTATAGAAGACTATTATCTCTTTAATAAATAATTCTAGAAGTCATACTCCCTTTATTGACCCTTTTATGTACTATTATAAACTATAGAACTTATAGGTTTATTATTTTTTTAGAAAACTGTATTATTTTAACTTACGTACTAATTTCAATACTTAATTTTAATGAATATTTTTATTAGGTAATATTAATAAATTTTATATTGAAATAGAGAAATTTGATTTAAGTATGTTAATAAATAATAATAATGAATAGTGAATTGATTGATGGTAAATTATAAAATAAAGTAAAAGAATGTTTATAAGAGATGTATTTTGCTTTCAAGTGTTCCTTTAAGTGATTTTAATAAAATTCCATCATTTCCTTAAATATCATTAAATTCAATTTAAACATTAAGTAATGAAATAATTAAAGAAATTTAACCTATTTTCAATGTAATTATTTATTTATTTAATTATAGAATTAATTAAAATAAATTAAATAATAAAATAATATTAAAGACATCATTAAATAATACAATAATTATTAATTTAATTTAATCTAAAATCATTCAATTCAATAAAATTAAAGGTGTCATGCAATAGCTTTTAATAAAGATAATTCTATTGTATTAGCTACTTGTGAAAATGATATTAAAGTATTTGAATTTAAATAAGAACAATTGACATTAACTTAAATTCTAAGTGAACATAAGGATTTTGTTACTACTTTAAATTTCATGAAGAAATCTAATCAATTTATATCTGTAAGTTTTGATAAATAGATTCTAATATGGTCTATGAATCATAATAATTAATGAATTAGGTAATAGAAATTGAATGGAGATTCTTATTCAAGTTGTTGTTTAGTATTGAACAAAAATGAAGATCTTATCATTTTAGGATGTTGTGATAATACAATTAAATTTTGGATAAAACAGAATGAATGGCTATGTTCATAAACTATTACAGATCATACAGGTAATGTATGTGGATTAAGTTTGAATGATTAATAGAATAAAGTAATATCTTGTGGATATGATTACTTTATATTAATAATAGAATAGACATCATAATATTATAAATGGAATGTAATATAATAGATATCAGTTTAAATGTTTAGTTATTGATTATGCTTCATCAATGATAATTTATTCGCATTTTAATCTTATAATAACGATTTAATGCATGTTTATGAGATGAATATTACTAATAAATAAAATATAAAAACAAAAGATATTTCTGTGATAAGGGGTGGTAATTGTAGGTTTTTCTTTCCTTAATAATATATACATTCAAAATTTTTACTTGTTAATAAGAATGGTTATTATGTTAATTTGATATGGATAAACAAAAATGGTGATTTTATATCATTATAATCTATTGATTTTGGAACTAGTGATCTATATGGATAAATGAGTGAAGATAGTATTTGATTACTTGGGATGATAAATCAAAATAAATATAAATTAGAAAATGTCATTATGAGTGAAAAAGAAGAATTAATTTATTATTAAAATCATATTTATTCATATTAAAAAAAACATTTTATTATTTTTTTAATTATTTATATTACATTAAGGAGAGTATTTTGGATATTCTTGATAAAAAGAATCAAGAAAATAAGATTCAACTTTATTTTGAGTGTGATATCAAAATAAAAAAAAATATGATTTTTAACAAAACCTCTAAGTTAAACAATATATTAATTCTGATTATTTTTTGAAATATTTGTAGAGACTTATTGTATTTAGGAATCATATAAATTTAAAAATAAATAAAACAGTTTAATTTATAATTATATATGCGATAAATTACTATCTTTATTTTAATTTTTAATGAGAATAAGTTATTTTGATTATCAGAATTTTAAAAATTGTAATGTTGATTTAAAATAGAAAGGAATTACTTGAGATACTGAAATTTATAAAAATTCTAATAATCAAATTAGAGTCTCTAAGTGGGCATAATTCAAGAATTTTAATCATTCACAATTTAATCATGTAGATATTATATCTTTGTAACTATTTTGATATTGGTGACATAGATTAAGATATTAGCATATTTATATTTTTCCACTTTATTATTTTAAATGTATAAAATTTCAAAATGTTAGATAGTGAGTTCTTTTGGCATAGGAACTTTTAAAAGTTGATTTTTTATTTTTTCAATATATCTAAACATAAACTAAAGCATTTGCAAATAAAAAGAAACAAAATTTCTTTTATAGATGACAAAATTATTAGGAGAAACCAAATTTTTGATCATTATAATAAAATCATATTGTTAATTATTAGAAAAGAAATTTAAAATTGATTATGAAAAGGGAAAATTATTCATCATAATATTTATAAGTTAGCATCGAGCTATATAGAATTATTTTTTAGAAATTTCAATACTGAGCAAATGACCAACTATAGCTTTGTAGATTCATAAGAATTAGATTTTAGAAAAATTAATATTAAATATTGATTAAGTTTATAATATTTTTGTTTTCAAAATTATTGAAAATAAACTAATAAAGTTAAATTGGCAAAAGATTTAATAGATTTCTCTTTGTTTAATTTTTAACAAATTTGCCAAAAAGATAAGCAAAAAACTAACTTAAACTTAGTGTGACCATAAATTTCTATTATAATTGATACTAACGTAGGATATTTTTTTATTTTATTACTATTTAATATCATAATTAATTTGGAATTCATTTTGTAGTTCTATATACTTGTTTTAACATTCAAAGATTTTTTCTAATCTTTTTACATAAGATATTCTTTAGATTAAAAATATCTACTTTCTACGAACTATTTTTACAATAAATATTTTCCCACAAATTTACATATATGAATGTGAAAATTTAATCAATGAGATATATTTTTATTGCATAGTATTAATTTATTTTGGTTTCATAATATAATTATATTATAGAGTAAACGTATCAAGTATAAAGTTTTGACAAATTTAAATTTTACACAAATTTTCATCTTTGATTATAGCTTGTATTTATTTTTTTTGATTATTTCTTTAGTGATAATAAGAAGAGTAAATAAACAATATTTAATTATTTTTTTAAGATGCAAGATCATGGAAATGAATGTTTGCAAGGAACTAAAAATAATAAGGAGTTTTATGGGATTAGGTGAATCAAAGATGTTGAAATACTAAATTTTACAATACATTTACAAAAAATAAAGAAATTAAATATATCTCAGATGATGGATCTATTCTAAGAATGTAAAAATTATTATTTTAGTATTAATTAGTGATTCAATTATTGATATTTCTAAAATCCAGATATTATAACAAATATGAAATAAATAAAATATCTGAAATTTTCACTTCAATCTTCTTCTTCAAAAAGTTTTTAAATCGAATGCAATATGCAATATGAAAGGGTGAAATATTGATGTGGGTGGGTAGGATAGCATGAAATAATAAATAATATGCACTATATTCAAATGATGGAAAAAAATATGGTTAATGGAAGGATTTGTCTATAAATTATTGGGAGTACGTTTATATTTATTTATTATTCATTAAAAGTCGAACCTAAATTTACGAAGTTGGAGAATACTTAAATAACTGAAAAAAGGAATTTGGAAATACATTTACAAAGACAGAGGTATTTATACTTATAAACTTTAATATTTAGTTGTGGTGGTTCATAGAATGGGTAATGGACTGATTTGGATGAAGGGTTTAAGGACTATTTAATAGTATAAGGTTTCTATTTTAATTAGATAAAATTAAGTTACTTTTGATGGTGAATATATAAAGGTAAAAAAATTGGTAGATGGAATATCAACTATAGTGAAGATATTCGTAAATAATTCCATTCAATGTAAAAGTTATTAAAAATTACGGTGTATTTTATAAAATATAAGGTTTATAAAATGGAATCTGGATTGATTTTAGCAATGGGTTTTCAGGTATCTTAGTTTAGAGAAATTAAATTTATTTAGTCAAGTCAAATCTTTCATAAAAGTGAATATTAAAATGGAAAAAATAGGTCATTGGTATTTCTATTATAGAGAAGGTAGCCTAAATCCTTTTGTGAAGATGTAATTTAATTATTCTATTTTAATTTTAGTGGTGGATGTTCTTACTTAGAAGATGTGAAAAATGTAAATGGGTTAAATTGAGTGATGGATTTTATTGGTATTTAAATTTTGAGAATTAATATATTAGTTTAAGTTAAGTCCTTTATAAAGGAGAATATAAGAATGGTCGAAAAATTGGGGTATGGGATATCGATTACAAATAATGGAATAAGAAGCTTTGGGAATTAATGATAGCTCATAAATTATCTATATAGCGGAAGTCGAGCATATGACAATTAAGGTTTAAGCATGGCAAATGGATATATTTCAATGATAGTTTTAAAGAGTATTAAATCTTTAGATTTTAATGTTATTAGAGAAAATTAAGTCGTGTATCATTGTCTTTATAAAAATGGTTAAAAAATTGGGAAATCTGACACCAAACACAGATAAAATAGAATAAACTTTGGGAATAAATGTATTTAGATTATATGTAATTTATTTAAACTGGTGGTGGTTCTTATGATCAGGGCTAGAAGAATGGTTTATAGTTGATTTTGAGTGATGGTTTTTATGAATATTTATTTTCGAATGATTTTTGTAGTTGGAGTTAGGCAAAAAAATTGGTTAATGGGATATTAATTACAAATATAATTATGATTAAATTTGGAAATAAATGTAATGAAATTATTTTTTAATACATATTGGGGGTGGTTTTTATGAAAATGGATTAAAAAATGGTAGATGGTAGATTTGATTAATAGTTTTAGAGAGTATTTATTTAAATTATTAAATTAGTAATTGTTAAGTCACCTTTAATGGTGAATATACTAATGGTCAAAAAGTTGGGAAATAAGATATTATTTTAGTTAGTCGATAGGATCATATGATTAATTTTTCTAAAAGAATGGTTTATAAATAGATTTGAGTGATGAATTTAAAGGTTTAGTATTTTTAGAATTTATTAATTCAAATTAAGTTATTTGCAATAGGGTATATAACAATGGCAAAAAAATTGGAAGTTGATAGATAAATTTAATATATTTGATAATGACTGAGAGAAAATACTAATATAAAAGATAATGTATATTATTCATAAAAAAAGTTTGCATATTGATAAATTAAGTAATTAGTTTATGGATTGATTTGATCTTTTCTCCAATGTTAAAAGATTGCATTTATTTCTCTATCAATAAATCTTGGATATTTAAAAATATCATAATCAATTAATTACATCAAACGAATTTTTGGAAATCAAATTTATTAATCCAACTCAAAATAAAGATAAAAACAAAATATGATTTGATTTTAAATAAATAATGATTCTCTAAAATTTTTTTAATACTTTAATAATTTTACATAAATTGACAAAACTATAAATATTAAAAATTAAGTTGATAATAATCAAATAGTGGAATCAGAATTTATAAGAAAAATTACAAACAATATTTGATCTTCATTTTTAATTCATAGATTGTGAAATCATTAACTCATAGTAACTTTTGAAAAATTAAATAGAGATTCTTAAAATTTTGAGGAAAAACTATTAATTTTAGAAACATTATATCACTAAAATAAAGCATTTTTTTAAGTTGAATTGTTATAATTTAGGTAAAATTAAAGCAAAATATATTTGCTGATCAGATTTTGAAATCCAAAATTTTTTTCACAATAAATAAATGATTAATAAGTCATCAATCTAATGTATTACAAATCCTTTATTTAAACGGTTGAAATGGATTTTTTCTTTTGATGATAGTATCTCATAATAAAATTCCTAAAATAATTGAAGGCATATTAAAGATTTATTTAGGGTTAATATTAAAGCTTAACTTATTATTTATATTCTATTATATTTGAAATAGTATATACAAGTTACAAGGTAGTTTTTCCTAAGCTTTACAAGATTATAACACATTGATAAATGAGAAATAAGGTATATATTTTTTTTGTATGAGAATTCTAATATTTAAGGGAAAATAATAAATTATATTTTTATAAAGCTTTTTCATCTTTATTTTCAATAAATATATTGATTAATTTCTTAAAAGGTATAATTTTCTTTACAATCGAATCACTTTTAATCCCATAAAACAATTGAATCTCTTCCAATTTTTCAATGCTAAAAATTAAAAAAAAAAATGTATAATTTAATTATTAATTACTTTCATTCACAATCATGAATCAAGTAATGTGTCCAGTTTAAAAACATTAAAAAATGATTGTAGGATTCTGTTATTTCGAAAATTGTATAGAAGATAAAAGGGTCATGTGTATAGAATGTTTTCAAGAATAAAAACATCGTAATCATAAAGATTAGGGAACAATAGACTTAATATTCGAATTCATATAAAATAAAAAAAAAGACTTTTAAGATGAAATTATTAAGCTTGAAGAATTGTATGGAAAGCTTTAATTTAATTTTGATAAACTCATAAAAGGATTGCGTGAGAAATATTTATTATCAGAATTACAAATTTAGGATTTTGATGGAAATCAAATACATGAATATTTATGTTAGTTGTTAACAACAAGAGATTTATCATTGAATATAAATGAAATTAAAATAAATCTCGAAAATTTATTTCAGAATATAGAGGATTTAATAATTGAATTCAATATCTCAAATAATCAGAAAGATGAAAATAAAACGGATTATTACTTTGAACAAGGTATTTTCAAACAATCATGAAATTAGGTTATTAATTATATCTAATGAATGAATTTGAATCAGCAATAGAAGCCTTAGATTAATCTCTTTAACATAATGAGAAGAATATTGATTCTTTGTGGTGTAAATGTAATTTTCACTCATTTATTTTTAGCTACTTGTTTAAGTTTATTGGGGAGGTAAAGTGAGGCAATCAGATGGATTGATTTAGCCTTAAATATTGATGATAAGCATTTGGATTCATTATGTCGAAAGTGTATGTAAAATTAATATATAAATAGCTGAATGTTTAAATTAATTAGGAAAATACGAGGAAGCTCTAAAAATTATAGAAAAAGCAGTTGCTGTTGATCCTAAACATATTGATTCTTTGTCCATAAAAGGTAAATGTACTTGTAATTGACAGCTGATTGTCTAAGTTTATTAGGAAAACAATTAGAAGCTCTAAAAGTATTAGACTCCTTTTAAAAGGTAAATCTATAAAACATCGAATTGTTTTGGAGAAAAGGTAAATTTATTTCAAATTTATCAGCTGAATGTTTAAGTCTTTTAGGTAAGCATAAAGATGCCTTAAATTTGGTTGATGAGATTTTGTAAATTCAACCTTAACATATAAATTCAATTTGGAGAAAAGGTTTAATTAATAAATGATTTTTAGCTTGGTGTTTAAGCTTTTATGGATAGTAATAGGAAGCTATTAAATGGATAAAATAAGGATTGGAGATTGACTCTTAAAATTAAAATCTTTTAAAAATTGGAGGTATGATTATAATTTCATAGATAGCAAAATGCTTGAGTTTATTGGGCAAATAATAGGAAGCACTTGAAATGATTAAAGGAATCAACTCTTATGATTTACAAACATTAATAATAAAATGTCAGATTAAATTTCAATATTAATAGCTGAATGTTTATTTAATTAAGGAAATTATTAAGAAAGCTTAAGAGTTCTAGATTAAGCCTTGATTCATAATCCAAATAATTTTGATTTAATATTTAAAAAAGGTAAAAAGTGTGCTATTTCATAAGCTGAAATATTAATGAAAAAAAAAGAATACTTCCAAGCTTTATTGCAAATAGATAAACTTTCAGACAATATATAAAAAATAGTAGATCTATTGTCTATGAAGGGTATAAATAAAAATATTTTTTAAATTAGGTGAATGCTTATTTATGACTGATATGGAATCTTAAGCAATTTAATATTTAGATTAAGCTTTAAATTTAAATCCAAAGCATGTAAAATCATTGTTAACAAAAGGTATTTCTGGTATTTAAATTTAGGAAATTATTTATTTTTCACAAAAAACTACTAGTAAGCACTTTAATAATATGAGCAAGTATTGAAATCAACTCCAAGTCATTTTGAAGCTCAAGATAAAAAATAACAATGTTTAAAGAATTTAAAGAAAAAATGATATTTTAATCATATTTGTTTTTAATTTCACCAGGATAATATTCAATTTAACTATTTCAATTTAAATTTGNAATTAATTAGGAAAATACGAGGAAGCTCTAAAAATTATAGAAAAAGCAGTTGCTGTTGATCCTAAACATATTGATTCTTTGTCCATAAAAGGTAAATGTACTTGTAATTGACAGCTGATTGTCTAAGTTTATTAGGAAAACAATTAGAAGCTCTAAAAGTATTAGACTCCTTTTAAAAGGTAAATCTATAAAACATCGAATTGTTTTGGAGAAAAGGTAAATTTATTTCAAATTTATCAGCTGAATGTTTAAGTCTTTTAGGTAAGCATAAAGATGCCTTAAATTTGGTTGATGAGATTTTGTAAATTCAACCTTAACATATAAATTCAATTTGGAGAAAAGGTTTAATTAATAAATGATTTTTAGCTTGGTGTTTAAGCTTTTATGGATAGTAATAGGAAGCTATTAAATGGATAAAATAAGGATTGGAGATTGACTCTTAAAATTAAAATCTTTTAAAAATTGGAGGTATGATTATAATTTCATAGATAGCAAAATGCTTGAGTTTATTGGGCAAATAATAGGAAGCACTTGAAATGATTAAAGGAATCAACTCTTATGATTTACAAACATTAATAATAAAATGTCAGATTAAATTTCAATATTAATAGCTGAATGTTTATTTAATTAAGGAAATTATTAAGAAAGCTTAAGAGTTCTAGATTAAGCCTTGATTCATAATCCAAATAATTTTGATTTAATATTTAAAAAAGGTAAAAAGTGTGCTATTTCATAAGCTGAAATATTAATGAAAAAAAAAGAATACTTCCAAGCTTTATTGCAAATAGATAAACTTTCAGACAATATATAAAAAATAGTAGATCTATTGTCTATGAAGGGTATAAATAAAAATATTTTTTAAATTAGGTGAATGCTTATTTATGACTGATATGGAATCTTAAGCAATTTAATATTTAGATTAAGCTTTAAATTTAAATCCAAAGCATGTAAAATCATTGTTAACAAAAGGTATTTCTGGTATTTAAATTTAGGAAATTATTTATTTTTCACAAAAAACTACTAGTAAGCACTTTAATAATATGAGCAAGTATTGAAATCAACTCCAAGTCATTTTGAAGCTCAAGATAAAAAATAACAATGTTTAAAGAATTTAAAGAAAAAATGATATTTTAATCATATTTGTTTTTAATTTCACCAGGATAATATTCAATTTAACTATTTCAATTTAAATTTGAAATATATTTCTTTTTTCTTTTTTAAGGAGAGAAAAAAATTAAAGAATATATTGCTCATTTGACATAGATTTTAATAAAATAGATAAAGTTCTTAAAACATTTTAAGTAAACATTATTTCTGTTTAATAAAATAAAACAAATCGAACAACAAAATTTATGGCCCATCACATATAATTAAAAATATTATAAAATTTATTCTTCTTTTTTTACTTTATTCTATATTTTTTGGAAAAAATATAAGTATAACCGCAATAAAAAGAAATCAACAAAAAACAATATTAATATTATCAACCAACTTTAAACAAAAGGTTTTTTATCACTTATTGTGAAAAATTTGATATCAGAATACCTCCTCATTTAAATCTACATTTAGATATCAAGTCAAAGATGATGTGAGTTTATCCAAAAAAGATTTATGGATGACATTACTATACAATTTTATTCTATATAAATTTTGCCAAATAATTTTAGTAGTTCCTAAAATCTTGAGAAGAGCAACTATATTTAATCTAAATATCAAAAAATAATAGAAATCCATATCGCTCCTATTATATCTTATAAAAAATCGAATAAACAAATATTGCTATTTAGTTATCCATTATGTACTTTTATATCCTTTATAATGGTTTTTTGCAGGTAATAAAATATTACAGTTTTAACAATTTATTATTACTATTTCCTATACTTAAATTAAAAAAAACAAATTCTACAAAATATGTCGACAAAAAATTATTTTTAAATTATGCTTTTAAGAATTATATATTTATAATAATATCAAAATATCTGAATCATAAAATATAAAAAAATATGAATATA